TATATTCTACCTTGTTTGGACTGGCAACCCTTCATATTAATGTTCTTGTGGCATACATGAAAAGTACAACATTTCAATTGCACTTATTTGACAAAACAAAAAAGCATAATTCTATTCAACACATATTTGCGTTAAACTACATTATTTTTCCATAGAATGACATTTGGGATAGTTTTAATGTAAGATTAGTGAGTTTCATGTGCCAGTATTGGCTCAGTCATATAATATAGTGAGCAAGTTGTGAAAAAAAGAAAAAAAACGATCTAAAAGCTGATATAGATTTTTTTTCTCTGCTTTGTCATTTACGAGAAGAAAATAATGATAACGTTTGTCTGGGCCGTAAGTTGATTACAGTGTGTATCCCCATTGGGGGTAAATTGGGTTATGTCATGTTAGAAAAGAATAGAAACAGAACAAAATAGACAATTGTAATATGTTTCTTCTCTGAAAAGACAATTGCTTTTGGTCCCCAGAGGAAAAAATAAAAAGTTTGCACAAGAATGTTATCATGATTTGTTATCAGAAAATCAGCTTATATTAGACCAATTCTCACAAAGACATATTTGACTATGCTATATGACAGTGCTTATATATATATTGTATATGGATAGGCTTATATATATATATATATATATATATATATATATATGAATATTTACATATATATATATATATATATATATATATATATATATATAAAGCCTATTCATATTCAATATATATATTAAGAAAAACAGGCCACTTTAAGGTTCCATTATAATAATTTATTTCACCAGAGCCCTTTTAAAGGACGCTGGATCATCAAATAGAACTTCCAAAAGATAAAACCAAAAATGAAATGAAAATTCACACTTTTGATGGGTAGTATTAAGTTTTTTTTTTTTAATATTTCTCTCAATCATACTAGGTATGATTGAGAGAAATATTAAAATAAACCCTCTCTAAACTCGACTATGTCTCTCGCACCATCCCTCATTACCCTCTCTCTTGAATTACAAAAACTTAATACTACCCATCAAAAGTGTGAATTTTCATTTCATTTTGTCATATAGGAATAGTGTTGCTGCTAACACTTGGGTTTGAACACAGATCACTAGAGCGCAAGCACAGTTGACCTCATCTTGAAATAATTACATCACGTGACAGGTAAAGAGAAAATATATATATATGGGAATTAATATCGCTTGAATGAGTATTGCTTGAAGGCATTACTATTATTGTAGCTATGTTTTACAAAGTTTCTTCTACAAATGGGCATTATAATATATATATATATATATATATAATATATATATATATATATATATATATATATATATATATATATATATATTATTTTCAAGAGGAATAATGCAGATACATCCCCACAAAAAAAGGAGAGAGACAGAATAAAATGGAAGCAACTAAACAGAAATGGCTCTGGTTAAAGAGGTTAGACAAGAAAAAATAAAGGTGAAAAAAAGAATACAAAGAAAGAGAGAGAAAAAAACAAAGTAAAGGAGAGAGAGGGTGAAGAAAAAGGAAATAAGGAGAGAGGGCAAAGAAAAATGAGAGAGGGTGAAAAATATAAGAAAAGAGAAGAAAAAAAAAAAAAGAGAAAATAAAGTGAAAGAAAAAAGGAGTGAGAAAGGAAAGAATAAAGAAACAAGGAAGAAAAAGATGCAGAAAGAATAAGACAAGGTGATAAAAAAGAAAGAAAGAAAGAAGAAACAGAATGATGAGAAATAGAATGCAAGAAGGAAATAAAAATGAATCTGATTAAATAAGCTAAAAATGAAGAGACATAGAAAAGATGGACAAACAATTTAATTGGAAGACATTACAGATAAAGTTAAAAAGGAAAGGAACAGGAGACGCGTATCTAATTAAATAATCCTGTGTAAAGAAAGAGAAACAGAACCCAAGAAAATGGAATTTCAAGTAATTAAGCCCACAACTGCAGAATTTTAAAAGCAGCTAATGCCCCAAGGCTGCGGAGTTAAGAAATTTAGTATTAGAAGTAGTAGCAGTGCTTAAAGCAGAAGGTCACATTTTGTTTTTCCTAATTGGCTTACAGAACCATTTTGAGTGCCATAGAAATCAACTCATGGTAAAATGGTCATTCACATCAACGGGAATAAATGTTTGTCTTAGAGTTAAGCTACAGAAAAAGAACATGAAATGTTTTTAGTTTATGTCTTGTGTGTGTATACATTTTTTTTTTTTAATCAATTCTTTATACTTTTTAAATTTTAAAAGCTTTTTCAATTAGGGAAAGGTTGGTTGTGTAATATTTTTTGGTTAGTTTTTATTTTTCCATTATTTTTTATTTTATTTTATTTTTTTTAGACCAAATAATATGACCAATCAGAACAAGGGTAAAATAATATGACCAATCAGAACAAAGCAAAGGAGAAAAAAACTTTCAACTCTAAAAATATTTTGAAAGAAAGTTGTTCTCTTTTATCTGATGTTCAAAGATAAAATGTCTTAATTATTCCACATATTTTTAAACTTAATCTTTTTTATTGCCATTATTTTTATCTCAATTATTTTTGCATTCTGTAGACATTAAAAATATCTTAAAAAATAATTGTCGGACTTTGTCCATTTCATAATATGAAAATTTCTCAGAGTTAACCTGTAGAAAAAACAATATTTATAAATATAAATGACAATAGGAACTACTACAGTTTTCCTATTGTCATTTATATATAGTAAAATATGACAAACTGGATAAGTTTTTGTGATGCATTTCATCAGATTGGGCTTTCCAGTTTGTCATATTTTTCTAAATACTATTTTTGATATATGAAATTATACAAATTTATATATCGTTATATCATTCATATATATATATATATATATATATATATATATATATATATATATATATATATGAGTTGGTGAAAAGTTTTCAGCCAAACGCACTATTCAAACAGTAATTTAATTGTCAAACATCTGAAAAAAAAAAATATAGGAATAGTGTTGCTGTATTGCTTGAAGGCAGTTGACCTATCTTGAAATAATTTATTGACAGGTAAAGGGAATATATATATATATATATATATATTATATATATATATAATATATATATATATTTGGTTTTAGTAGCATTTAAATGAGTTTCCAAACCAGTTATATATATTCTTTTCATTATTGCCATTTGGTTTTATGAACTTTGTTTTACTTTTTACTGTTGTTTTATAGTTTTTATTCTATATTGTTGCTTTTTTTATTCCAACATGCTGTCTCAATACACTCTTCATTATTACTATTATTTTATCACATCTTATTAATTTTGCTTTTTATCCCAACACTCTGGGTCAATTTACTTTCTGTTATTTAATGTTTAAGTAGCATAATGGTTAGTGGCATAAAAAGGTGAATTAGTGAACCAAATACCAATTCCATCCAAGTCTGCTGCATTCACTTTGGTACTAATGCTCTTGTTAAAAGAATGAATCCATTTCTTTCCCCCTAGCTAATGGCTGGATAGCAGGATAAATGGAGTTCTTGTGTCTTGGGTGGCAACTAGTTTAGGAAAATGTCAACTCTTAATTCAATATTTTCTTATTACGAAAAAGGAAGTCGTGAAGAGCCTCTAGTTATATACATTGTTATACCAATATTTCTATAATAATAATCCTCATAGTTGAGTTTTCTCATGACAGTTACATCTATTCTATCAATTCAGGATTTTGTTTAACACATTTTGTGCCAATACATATTAGTTACATAAAGTCCCCTTTTTGAATTTTGCACCTTGTCTTCATTCTGTTCTCTACTATTAATAATAAACTGGCTGTGTGCAGTGTCATTTTGTTTCTGGGGATTCTAATTTTGTTTTTTATTCTTGGCCTATACACACAAACAAAAAAAATCATTGGCACTGAGGTGTTAATCTATTCTCTAACCATTTCTAAATAAAGAAAAAACAAACATTTTTTTGTGATAGATGTGTGTTATATATTTATTAATCTTTAATATTTGATATCATTGAGAAGCAACAGACAATTTGAAAGGGATGTATCCTTTCAACTTGTCTTGCTTCACAACAATATCAAAACATTTCCAGCAAATTTTAATGTACAATGTTTTTGCAATTTTAATTTGAGTTTTTTTGTTTTTTTTTTAACTTTTTCAATTCAACAAATCTTTTAAAAATATGGCAAACATAAAGCAAATAAAAATCACACTATTATTTTATAATACTTGTTCATTTTAAATTTCTTTTTCAGATTTTCTCTTGTATTCAAGAGACAAATAATTTTTCAAATTTGCATTCATATGAAAATTTAAGTTTGGAAATTTTACAGCACAAATGAACAAACACTTTTAAAAGATTTTTAGTTTATTTAAGTCATAGTTGTTACCCAATTATATTAAAATTTAAAATGCAAGAATACTGTTTCAAGTTTACCCAACTATTTCAGATCAGTATGTGTATACACCTTAATAACTGATGAGAATAATCAGAAAAAATATCTGGCAAAAGTTAACAAAAAATGAATCCTGTGTCAGATAATCCTTCATGACAATGAATTTTGTAAATATGTCAATATATCAATTCAATATTTGCCTTTAGTTTCTGTAAAGTTTTAAAACTTGAATTTTCTGTTTTACTTTAAATTTTGCTCTTTTTACAATGTCTCCAGATACAACAGAGAAAAAAAAAGTGTTAAAATAGGAAATAATTCTAATTTGGGTTTTTCTCTTTATAATTTACCAGAAATGCATAAAAAATAATTTCAGGTATTATCCGTTTTTGCTTTTTACTGTTTTAGGTGTTTTCATAAAGTTCAAAAAACATTTTTTTTTTTTTTTTTTTTTTTTATGCTATTTATCAGAGATTTTTTAATTAAAAATTCTTTTAAAAAAACTGATTTTGAACTTGTTACTTTATTTCTAATTTTTTGGACATTGTTTTTATTTTTGACTTTTTAAAATCTGTTCTTTTTACTTGTACTGAAATTGATCCAATTTATTTATTTCGTTATCTCTTTTCGGTGACTTTCTAGTTTCCTGTACAAACAACTGTTCTTCTAATGGAATTTGTAAGCTGGGTCAGTGTCTTTGCTTCAGGGGCTATAAGGGTCCCAGCTGTAACCAACCTGATACTGTTAATGTGAAGCAGCTCTGTTTAAATGACTGCTCAGGCCATGGCACATATGAACTTAAATGGGACAGGTGCAATTGTGATTGGCATTTCACAGGTGATCAATGTGAGACAGGTAATCCTTCTGAAATTCCAATGCACCAAAAAAGGCTCTAAATTTAAGCTGCATGGAATGGTATTGGTCAAAGACAGGATAATGTCAAATTATACATAACAAAATTTTATTCTTTCCTTCAATCCATAGTTAATTTTAAGGCTGGTTTATGATATTTGGGGAGCTGAAGAACTGAAGACTAGATTTGTCCTTAACTAAAAAGAATATATTCATTTTATATCATGTTGGTTAACATTTGAAATTTAGTTTCTTTACTGCCAGAAGACAGGTAGAAAAAAAGAAAATATTCAACTAACAGTAATTTTGTAACTGCATTGGTTATGTTTTTTCAGTACTAATCTAGGATATAATTAACTCTACTGCCATAGAGCTAAGAAATAATTAAAAGTAAAATTATCCTAAGAAAGTTAACATGAAACAAAAGAAATAAAATGTAGGGCATTAGCAGCCTGATCTCCCTACTACTAAAGAGATGTGTCATCGTTAAGATAAAATGAGGCATGATTCCTCACTGGTGTCAAGTAATACCTTCTGTTACTATATGTTGTAACCTAGGGAAGGTTACGGAATAGAATAATCACATGAAGGTTGGTAATGAACAATAATACTTAAGACAAGAACAACACATATAAGATTTGCCAGCAGCACATAGAAGAAGTAGTCAACTGCTAGAAATAAGTCAAGTGGATTCCACAATGAATCTCCAGTTACAGACCAATATACAGTATTTACTACTGTATTTATGTGACTGGGGACATACCCATTATCATCCATAGGTATGCTACAACACTATAACAATGGCATACCTCACTATGAAGAAGAGAAAATCATATTCGGTTATCAATAAATATATAAAATGACTTTGTGCTTTACAAAATAGTTGATCATGCTAGATAGTCTTTATTTAACCAAAATTTAAAAAAATAAGTTCTAAAATCAGGTTCAGGGCAATTTGATATTGATGTGCACTTTCCTTAAACAAAAATATGGTCCAACATCATGTTTTAAATTGAAAATTGCACATACACAGGAATTAGTAACAAGAATTGTTAAGTCTTGTTTGATGGACACTTACTGGGTTATTTCAAACAAGAGGGATTCACCTTGACACTCTCTCTCTCTTCATGTAATAGAAGTGTTGCCCTGGATGATGTCTCCATGGAGCTGAGCATGTAGTACTTTGAATTGAAACCTAATGTGAATGGTGAGGGCAGAAATCAAATGTTCATTTCCCTCTCATTTACTTATACCAACAAAATGATTTAAGACCTTACTATTATTAGAAGTTTGACAGGTGTAGATCTTTCAATATAGTTTTCCAGTTATTACAGCAATATATAAATTTTTGTGGAGTGTGGGGGGGGGGTCAGTTTATTACTGAATGACAGAAAAAAACAATCCCCCACTTTATGCCCCATAGAACCCCATGTTAATACAAGTTTACCCATGCCATTATAATAGAATGTTTTTATTTCTAGGTGTTTAAATATATATTTGCCAGACATTATAGTAATTTAGAGAGGGATTAATTTATTTCCTAATAAGAACAGAAAACCAAATTCCTATTTGATTTTCTAAGCATAGCTTAGATGTGGCACAAGGCTGAATGTATGGGACACCCAGTGAGGATCGAACTCACTATTCAGTTGTAACTGTTTTAGCGAGATAAGCTTGCTAATCATTACACCACACTGAGGTGCCCTTCCCTGTTTATATATCAGAAAATCATATATTAATATGGGTTTACCCATTCTGCTACAAATAAGAAAATATTTTCTGAAGTCATTTTTATTAGAAGTTTTTCACATATGAACCTTTAAATATAGTTTTCCTACAAAAGGGTGTGATTTAATAAAATGAAATAGTGTTTAAGAATACTTAAACAGTATGTCTGCCTTGTTCAAGTTCTGTTTAAAAAAGAATAAAAATATAAAAAAAATAATTCTTTGAACAAATGTTGCATGTCTTGAGAAAAACTCAAGTAAACTGGTAATCAACCTGGCAAAATGAATGAAACACAGCCAATGTGAATGGAATGCAACTAAAACAAGAATAACATGATGGGGATTGTGCCCATCTTGAAATTAATTAATAGTTGATTAATGTTAACTAATCAATGTCTACAAGGACTTGTATTTTTTATATTTATATTCTTGTATGCAATTTTTAAACATAACATGAAGACAGAAATATTTTTCTTTTCTTAAATCACACTCTTTTAAATGTTGAAGAATATTGGAAGAGATTTGTTTATTATCATTATTATTACTACTCCTTTCACAAAGTAAGTTTTTTCAACACCAGGCCTTATAAAAATATTTCAATAGTCTTCTATTATCATTACAGATGCAAGTGAAGTAACTCTAATCCAGCAAAAAGTCCCAGATAAAAATATATATATATAAATATAGTACATGATATAATATATATTTATGTGTGTGCTAATAATAAATTATTTTTTAATGCTTAAATCTACTTTTAAGGTAGAATAGATTTTGAATATAATGATTTTACAACAGGGATAAATAGATATGTCCTATTAAAGTAGGTTGAATGATCACTGAGTGCTCACATATGTAAACTTATGCCAGACTAAGCCTAATAGCAAAATTAACATAGAATAAACCTATGAAATAATTCTGATGGAAATGTTTAATCTCAAATTAAAAAAAAATCATTGTTTGAGGACAATTCAATAAATAATTTTAAAATATTTTTGTGTACCCCACAAAATTTATCTTCTGCCTCCAATTTACGAAGGAAATAATGGAATTGTAAAGTTATGTAAAATTTGGCAGAAAAATTATAACCACCCCACTCTGCCACCTAACAATAAAAACCAAGTTTATTCCTTTGTATGCCGTTCTTATTCCTTTCTTGGAGGTTCTTGTCCTTTGATATGCAACAATGACCTTGATGAATACAGGGTTGTCAAAAATATTAATTTATTGCTACTAAATGCATGTTGCTGAGCCACCCTCTTCCCATCAACCAATTGTATGAGCTTTGACCCTGACCTTTAAGCCAAACAGATTTGTAGATAAAAGTTTCTTGGATATTGGTGAGATAATTATAAGAGCTTTGTAAGGTCTATATTGTCTATATTTATGACACAAAGTATTGTAACTATTTACAGTGTAACCCGGATATAAGAGAGTTATCAGGACCGGAGAAGAAGTCTCTTATATCCGGGTTTGGTCTATTTTATATACATTAACACAGGCTCTAATTTGGGACCAGAGAAAATCTCTCTTATATCCGGGTTTCACTGTACATTGTTTGAACTATTGTCATCATCTTTATTGTCATACCCACAATTTGGCCATTGTATGCTCTGGCCTTTTTGAATATGGCCCAGTGGATAAAAGCATTTCTTGGAGTCATCCAGTGATTTGATCCAGAGAGTTGTGAGTTCAATACCTGGCCACAAAAGAAGTGAACAAAACCTTACTAAACAGAAATAACTGATAGTGAGATAACCAGAAAAGTCATGGTATGTGGAACTAGAAAAATTCTACCCTGGTGGACTAAACAAAGGGTGGGGTTCAAATTCTAATGTATATCACTTGAAGAAGGCCAGAAAGTACAACAGCCGAAATGTTGCAAACATGACAAAGATGAAGACAATCTGAACAATGTAAATAGTTTAAATAGCTTTGTGAAGGTAAAAACTGACATGCTTATTCTGATGTATGGTATAGCTAATTAATTTTCATACTTTTTAAAATTATCAGCATCACAAAACAGATAACCAATCAGCCTAAAATCTAAATAATTATCTTCCAAAATTTCCAAGAAATCTTTTGTCCACGAACTGCAAAAAATAAATTTGAACCTTGTGATTCTTGAAGTAAAACAATGCATTTGTGTTGTATTTTGAACTGAATGGATATGCAGAATCATTCATTTTCTCTAATATTTTTTATCTCATCCCTTTATGCTTTTAGAAACCTTGGAAAATCTATCAGACTTGGAGCTTCTGATTTACTAACGAATTTTCTGGGAAGAACCAGAATTTAAAAAAGAATTTGCTTGAATTTTATTAAAATTTGCATGTGTTAAAGTTTTGCTTACCTAACTTCTCTTTTACTTCCAGCAAAAGAGTTTCCACGACTACTGATTCTATTCTCATTCATTGTTCATCTCTTATTGATACAGTGTCAAAGCCAGGCTTTATCCAGTCGCAAAGTCAAGTTCTCAGAGAGTTAGAAAGGTGCAAATATGGTCTAATGGTGTTATCCAGAAAAAGGGAATTTGCAGACCAGCCCAGTTGGTCTGACTGGCAAGGTCGGTCCTCTTACGGATCATTATCTGACCTCAGTGACTGGACTGATGATGATCAGTTGTCAGGACGGAGAACGTACGAACGAAAAAACAATCTTGTTCGCAGACGGATTCCCTATGGAAGATCTGAACTGCGGCAGTCATACAGAGGTAAATTAGTCCAAAATGTGACTGAAGCACCTGATCCCCAGTGACCTTGTAGACTCTTTAGAACAGTCCCAATTAGATTTCCTTACCTTATCCTGTAGGTCTAATGGCCAGCCATATCTCTGACTATTTCTTCACTGTTTATGAAGTTAGTTACCTCTTCCATGTTCAGTGTTAGTTATTTTGCACTTGATGTTGTTAAATAATTGACCTTATTGGCAGGTAACTCTGCTTAATTCTATTCAAAAATACTTTTCAGAATGTACATGTTTATTTTCGACAGTACAATAACATTGACAATTGTATATCATTATTTTAAATAGAAAAAATAAAATACTAATCAATGGATTTGTGATTGTGAAAATATATATGCACACACACACATATGTGTGTGTGTGTGTGTATATTTGGGCAACAACCTTTCTTTTTAAAACATCTTTCATTAAATATGGCAGACAAGGCAGATTTAATTCATTTTTTATACAGTTTTCCAGTATCCTTACATTTTTCCATTTTGTAAGAGTAAGGGAGTATAAAAATTTTACATAATTTTCATTGTCCCAAGTGCT